ACTCGCCTTAACCTAAGGGAGTGATCAACTTACAAAGACTCAGTCAATAAAATTTCAATCAAACTTCTTCTTCATTCCAAATTTCTCAAATCAATCACAATACTTATTAACATAACATTATTCCATACTCTTTTTGTTTTTGTTTTTCAAATCTTTTTCAATTTTTTCTCTCTTTTTCTTTTCTTTCTTTTTTCTTTTTTTTTTTTTCTTTTCTTTTACAACTTCATAGAAATTACAACATAAGCACATAAACATTCATATCCCCAACTTAAATTTAACCATCATCATAATATGAATACTTCCTACTTTCTAAGGTAAGGAAAAAATTCAAACTATAAATTATAGTTAAGAATTCAAGAAAACAAAGAATCAATGTCCATACAAAAATGAGAACTAAACACTCATAGACAAGCATTTAGAAAAAACAACATGGACATTGACAAAAAGCTCAAAAGGGTGGATACCAATGATCACACACTCACAAGGTGAATTAACTATTTGGCTAGGTAATTATGCTCAAAATGAAATAAAAATTCCTTGATCACTTTCATGCTTTGATACAATCAACACAAACAAAAGATTAGGCATAATAAAATCCAGTTAAAACAAGAATTGTGGCCTCCAACATATGTGAACAATGGAAAACACACTCATAAAAAGGGTAAGAACTAAAGTGTTTCACAAATGAACAAGTATTCAAAAGAATGAGTGGCATAAAAATTATAAAAATCCTAACTGTCATGAATATACTAAAAGTTTAGAAAGAAATAAACACATACCTCGAACGTGTATAAAACCTTAACAAAATCATTACCAAGCATTCGAAAGTCGAAACGATCAAACTTGACAAATCACCTTAATATCCTCAAGCTATTCACAATAAGCTCAAATACAAACACAAAAAATGAACACAAATAATATTCACATACTAGAAGACCAAATGAAATTGTCAAAACAAATTTAAAAGTGAAGATATGAAATTTAAGAACTAGTCCGAGTTAAACTTGTTTAGACAATTGTATTCAACTACCTAAACTAACAAAAATGAAAAATAATAAAACGTGATTGTTTTACGTCCTAAGCTCGACGCCTGTTATTTAAGAACGTTCCTCCAAGTTGCTTCCACTCGGTTATTCCTAACCAACACACAAGTAAACGTGAAAGGAAACAAACAATGATATAGCAAATTCATAAGTATAGGAAAACATGTACAAGTGTGGTAAACATAAAAAAATAAATTCACAACATAAACAAGTTCATGCACAATTTCTATACAACATATACATTAATTACAAAACTCAAAAACAAAGGAATTATCACGATGCGAAACAATAAATCAATCCTCGACAACGGCACCATTTTGTTGCAGCGGCATAGCATCAAGAAAAAGGTAAAGTTATTAATTTATCGGGTGATATTTAGGTTATATTGTATTGTGTCCACAGAGATTGGATATCGATTCTCCGTTTGACAAATCATTCGTTAATGAGTTTAGGGGGGAAATGGGTTGTTTGTAAAGAAAGGGTAAAAACTATTGACAAGAAAATAAATGAATTATTCCAATGAGAAACTTATCAGGCATGCATATAATCCACTCCCAACAAACTTAAACCTATCGACCAGTTATACTCAACCTTTGATACTCATCAATATCATCATGTGTCAAACACAACACGCACTATATCATCTCAGCGGCGGTATTTTAACCAACCTCAACAACACAAAAGTCAATCGAGCTACTCGCGTTAACAATCTCTGAGTCAACACAACCAACACATAAGTATTAATCACAGACACCCAAGTGAATTTCAGCTCCAAATCTATCTCTAGAATCCAAAAACTAATAGGCTATCATCTTAGATAAGAATTCAAGCAGTATATGTCTATAACAATCCAAATCCCTAGCACAGAGTAAAAATCAAGGATAATAATCCACAAAGATTTGTAAAGCAAATTAAATATAATGCCATGAGCGACAAATATACATAAGATCAAAGTAAATACATATACAAACTCAACATACAAAGAATGCACAAATAATAAGAGAAATGAACCACAAATCTTCTGGTTTGTCAGTGCCATCAAAGAGCAATCCACCTTGAATCATCTGTATGCAAGCTTCAATGTCGTTTTCTAAGCTAAGCCTAGAGAAATATGAGGGTTGATGGAGTTATGAGCAAAAACTATCCCTAAAACCATAAACCTAACAAATGAAATGAAAATTAAATATAAAGAAAATTGGGTCTGCATGCGTCACCCGATGACATAAAAGCGTTGTCCAATGATGATTTCTAAACACAAGGCCTAGGTTGTGCCACATACGCAACTAGTCAAAAATATCTACCCTTGCCCGATGAAGGGAAGCTTCTCCCGATAACATCCTAATTTCTTACCCAGCGAGCTGTTGGCGAGCCCAAGCCAGTAGCTACTGGAAAAATGATTCAGTCCTCTCGCCTCTCTGTCGCTCGGAAAGGCAGACGCGAAGGATCCTCGCCCAGGCTTCGCTCGGCGAGGCGCACCAGATTAACAACTTTTGTTGCACTTTTTGCATAACTCCAATGGCTCTCTCTTCTTAGTCTTATTTCTTTATTGACCCAACAATGCATCTTAGAGCTTTTATTCCTCTTGCTCCAAGAATGGTCAAATACCTACAAAATGAATACAAAACTATCAAAGGATACACTTTATACATGAAAATGAATTATACACAAACTAAATGAATTTATACATAAAGTTGGATTATTCAACTGATATTAATAACAAAGAGTCGATAAGTGCAAAAAAAAATATATACAAAAATAACTATAATTTACACTCATCATATGTGCATGCTCAAAGTCATAAAAACTCTTCTGAAATGAAGCTCTAATGTTTGCCAATTATATCTTGAGATTTCCATTCATATCCTCCCAAAATTTGCACATATCACCTAAGTTGTTCTCCAACGTCTGCTCTAGTTTCTAATGCGCATACTCAATGATAAGTACATGTAATATTAAGATAAACAAACTATGGCTAAAATAAAACATACCTATTAGTCGTGGTTTTTCTTAAATGCAACACTTGATTGATCCATGCTTCAACAAATTTATGCTTATGCAGAGTCAACCATGTGTCTTTCACATAATCAAAAAAATTCTTTAAAGTCAACACATGTGTGCTCAAGCTGTTGCAACGGGTTGATGGTACTCCACTCATCACTAGCCCTTACAAGTTAATATCATATTCTCTTTATCGACTCTCGCATATCATTCACAACATATTCCTTACACTTTGATTTCACATTTTTATTGATGTGAAATCGACAAAGCAAAATAATTGTCTTTAGAAATACTGTTTCAATTGCTTTCATCAAAGCAAGATCTCTATCAGTTAAAATCACTTGTGGCCAAAATCCCTGCTTAGTAAACAATTGTTTCAACTTATCCAATACCCAACAAAAATTCTATGTCTTCTCATATTCCATATAGACAAATGCAACAACAAATGCTAAATATAATCTGAATTCTCTACCAACTTAAACAAATGATGCATTTCCGTTTTAAGATCCATGATGTCTTTCTGTAACATACTCTTATGTTTATATATTTGCGTCATTCGAGTGACATTCTCTGGATCTCGCTCTTGCAATGAGAATAATATGTGTCTTGGTGGAACATGATATTTTGTCAAATTAACAATTATTGTTGTTCATCTGCATTTAGCCGGCCTACAAACGAGTGACCTTCAAATCTATCAGGTAAACCATAATTGTAAAGTCCACATTATACATCAATCTTCCATCTAGAACCATCTTTTGATGATGTTGACCTAATTTTGATGAGCAGTCACATTTCTTATTAGCACTTTGTGTTTCACTATCTCCTTCTTTGTATTTTCCACATCTATCACAACTAAATATTACTTTTTCACTTCTTTCTCTCTTGCCTGTTTTGGTATATGAATGAGTTATTATAAACTCCTTTATTCGTGACTCCAACCTCCCTAAATCTAGCTTATCGCCTCTTCTCGCGTAGCAATTTTTTGAGTAGTTGAAAATACATTAGTGGCACCTATACATGTCTAATTTTTATCGCATATCATCAAAGAAATATCCATACATGTTAAATACAAATAAAAAAATTAATCAAGAAAACATAAAAAAGAATCATACAAACCGGAATTCTTATATTAAAGAAATTTGGTTGGTAAAAAATACAAGTGATTAGAACATTTGGATGGAGGTTATCAGGTATTATATAAAGCAAACCCGATAACATAGAAAAAAAGTTATCTCGATGACTTTATTGAACCAGATTACTTCATATCATGTTTTCCGATTTGTGCAGAAATTGAATTAGATTTCATTTAGCAATCTTATCTGATTAAGAAAAATAACATACTGAATTTCATTTAACAATCTTATTCGGTTAAGAAAATAACATATCTAATTTCTTCGTAGAAAATTATCCTCTTCTCATAAATAGGGTGCACACTTATCAATTTCAGTTGAATAGTAAAAGTTATAATATGAAACAAAATTAAAAAAAAAAACAGTAAATTTAAAATATTTACAAATTTGTTGGGGTAGGGGGATAAATGTAGGGTATAGGATAAAATTTTCTATAATAATACACCCATCATAATCTTGTACAATAAATAAATAAATACTTAATCATGTGGAGGGAATCTTAATTGCAAACAATACGTCGATGACCGGAAAATTTGTTAACAAACTTTTAATTTTGGAAAAGAGCAAGGAGTGGACAAAAACAAGAACAATATTCTATTTCCACATGCCATTTTCTATGTTTTATTTAACATTTTGTTCATGAATTGACTTCTCTTTTGGCAGCCAACACCAAATCACACGTTCTTCATCGACCATTTCCTCATCAAATGTCTCAAATGCTTAGTATAATAACATCTCACCTTCACATTCCATTGCTTCTTCTTCCATCCATCACCAACTTCTTTCAAACATCCTCTTGTGTTTTCTTCCTTTCTAAACAAAACTTCTTATGTCTCATTTGGTTTATGGTGAAACTCAATCTTTTGGAGACTCACACCATGGACAAGGTCGACAACATGTTCCATTTCCAACCAATTCAAGTTCCTTAAGGATTCTTCTCTTACATGGAAACTTAGAAATTTGCATCAAAGAAGCCAAAAACCTTCCCAACATGGACACTTTTCATAAGGCAATGGGAGACATGTTTTCATTCTTACCTACAAAACTTAGTGGTAAAATTGAAGGCAAAATGTCTCAAAATCTAACTAGTGATCCATATGTTACTGTCTCTATAGCTGGTAATGTTATTGCAAGAACTTTTATCATTAGAAACGATGAAAACCCGGTTTGGATGCAGCATTTTAATGTTCCTGTTGCACATCTTGCATCAGAGATTCACTTTGTTGTAAAAGACAATGATGTTGTGGGTTCACAGGTTATCGGTGCAGTGGGAATTCCGGTTGAGAACTTATGTAATGGTTCCAAACTTGAAGGCTTTTTTCCAATTCTTAATACTAATGGAAAGCCCTTTAAGACTGATACAGTTTTAGGCTTATCAATTCAGTATACTCCTGTTGATAAGGTTACCCTTTATAGTAACGGTGTCGGTGAGGATTATCAAGGTGTTCCTGCTACGTATTTTCCGCTTAGAAAAGGCGGAAAAGTAACACTTTATCAAGATGCTCATGTTCCACAAGATTCTCTTCCTAGTTTGAAGGTTGATGATGTGAGTTGTTATGAGAATGGAAACTGTTGGCATGACATCTTCGATGCGATAAGTCACGCGTGTCGATTGGTCTATATCGTCGGTTGGTCTGTTTACTACAATGTTAGTCTCATCAGAGATACTAGAGATGGAAAAGATTATTCTTTAGGCGAACTTCTCAAAGCCAAATCACAAGAAGGTGTGAGAGTGCTTCTACTTGTATGGGATGATCTTACTTCTAATACCGTGCTCGGATATAAAACAGTAATGATCTTCGAATAATCTTTCTATTTATGTCGATTGAATTTTAACCATTTACTGACTTATATCATCAAATTTACTATACATATTGATATGTAGGTTGGACTAATGAATACTTACGACGAGGAAACTCGTCGTTTTTTCAAGCATTCTTCGGTTAGAGTGCTTCTTTGTCCAAGATCTGGAGGAAAAGGACATAGCTGGGTGAAACAACAGGTTAGTATGAAAAACTATTTTTGTATGTCTAATTGCATAATACTTGTCTAAGGAAAATGCTTACCATTTTTAGCTTTGTGCTTAATTATTAGGAAGCTGGAACAATCTATACACATCATCAGAAGACAGTGATTGTGGATGCTGATGCAGGTCATCATAAAAGAAAGATTGTAGCTTTCATTGGAGGTCTTGATTTATGTTTGGGAAGATATGATACCCCGGAACATTCTCTCTTCAGGACTTTGCAGACAACACACAAAGATGATTTTTATAATAATAACTTTGAGGTAAGTCATCCATTTTTTTTTTCATTACTTTTCGTCTTTCGTCTATACTAAGAGTCCTGTATTAAATGAAATCTGCCGGAAAATGTGTTTATACAAGGTGGACATTCATGGCCTAATATGTCGGTTTTGTAAGACAATATCAGAATCTATCCAAGATCCGTTGTGCTGCATGTTATCAGGTCACTACTATCGGATTACTTGGATCACACTCCAGATGTTTTGTCTTGGACATGAAGGGGTGTAATAAGAGTTTCACATTAGACGAAATGAACCAGAAAAATGTTTATAGAAGTGTTTTAGAGGTTATGAATTGATTGAGCTAGTTTGTAATATACTAAACAGGGTTCTGCTAGTGGTTGTCCAAGACAACCATGGCATGATTTGCATTCCAAAGTTGATGGTCCTGCTGCATATGACATTCTCACCAATTTCGAGGAACGTTGGTTAAGAGCATTAAAAATGACTACACTTCTAAAGATAAAAACTTCAAATGATGATTCATTACTGAAAATCGATAGAATCTCAGACATTGTTAGCATTGATGAAGTTCCTTACCTAGATGAACATAACCAACAAGAGACTTGGCATGTCCAGGTATGTATCATTGATTGATTGAATTCTCATTCCCTTAGAAAAAATTCTTCAATATCAATTTACATCCTTCTGACTATTTACTCCATTTTTTAATCGAAGATCTTCCGTTCGATCGATTCCAACTCTGTGAAAAGATTTCCAAAAGAACCAAAAGAAGCTATACAAAGGGTGAAGTGACTTCAATTCTGTTCTCATCTTTTTACCTTTGTTTTTGTTGTTGCTGTTAAGTGTGAAAGAAAGATCTAACTATGTTTACTTCATTGAACAGAACTTGGTTTGTGGAAAGAATGTAATGATAGACATGAGCATACATTCTGCATATGTCAAAGCAATCAGATCAGCACAGAAGTTCATTTACATTGAGAATCAATATTTTCTCGGCTCATCGTATAATTGGGATTCTTACAAAGACCTCGGTAAGTATTAAGTTCTAAAACCGAAGTCGAAAGAGGAATGATACTCCCTCCGTCCCAAAATAACTTGTCTATTTGATACTCACAGGTGCAAACAACTTAATCCCAATGGAAATTGCGCTAAAAATAGCGAACAAAATCAAACAGAAAGAGAGATTCAGTGTCTACATTGTGATTCCTATGTGGCCTGAAGGTGTACCTTCAAGTATAACTACTCAAAGGATTCTCTTTTGGCAGTTCAAAACAATGCAAATGATGTATGCAACAATTTACAAGGCCTTAGAGGAAGCTGGACTCGAAAATCAGTATGAACCGCAGGACTACTTGAACTTCTTTTGCCTTGGCAATCGCGAGCTCCCCGATAATGATAGCATTTCGAATCCTATAAAACAGAACGGACAAAACGCTCCGCAGGTATTGTGTTTTACTCCCTTAAATATTGTTTATGCTTGTTGATCAAGTTAGTTTATTATCATTATTGTTTTCACATTTTGGAACGTAGGTACTAGCTCAAAGGAATACAAGATTCATGATTTATGTTCATTCGAAAGGAATGATAGTGGATGATGAATATGTGTTGATGGGATCTGCCAACATAAACCAGAGATCCATGGAAGGCACTAGAGACACTGAGATTGCAATGGGAGCATATCAGCCTAATCATACTTGGGCAACAAGCAAATCCAAACCTCATGGCCAGGCAAGTTTTATAAGATTAAAATGATCTTGACCCTTCACCTCTCTAAGGCCGATAATAAACAACTTAATTAAGCGCATATAACACAAGCGGTAAGAGTCTCACATCGAAAATATATGGCCTGAACATGTGCTTATAAGTGAGGTAATCTTCATCTTATAAGCTAGTTTTATAAGATTGAATTAGGTCAAACTATATTTCTCGACATATTATCAGAGTCTGGGGGCTGAACATGTCCAAATGTCCAGTCTTGAACGTGACGGTGTAATAAGTAATTATCATTCAAGTGCTTATATGAAGTTATTTTTTGTGCTGTGTTCAGGTGCATGGTTATAGGATGTCATTGTGGAGTGAGCACATAGGAGGTGTGGAAGAGTGTTTCAAGGAACCAGAGAGTGTTGAATGTGTGAGAAGGATAAGAGGTTTGAGTGAGTATAACTGGAGACAATATGTGGCTGATGAAGTAACTGAAATGAAAAGTCATTTACTGAAATACCCTCTTGAGGTTGATTCAAAGGGCAATGTGAATCCTCTTGTTGGGTGTGAAACATTCCCTGATGTTGGTGGGAAGATAAAGGGAACCTTTGTTGTAGTTCAAGAAAATCTCACCATATAAGGATTGGAGTTATTGCTTATAAGTATGGTTTTGCCACCAATTACTTTAAGTTTTGTCAAATTAGTTACTTTTTATGTATCAATGAAACTATGTTGTTATATAGATGATTTTTATTTTTTAATAGGTTTAGTATATGTTTGGATTGATGGTAGAGATAATTGATTTTGATAGAATTGAGTTTGGTAAAATTGATTTTAATAGAATTGAATTTACTAAAATTGATTTATGTTTGAAAACAATGATATATAAATGACTGTTATCAATTAATATTGTTTGGATAATTTTTATTAAAGTTGATTTTGAACAAAGCAAAATTTTCAAACAAAGAAAAAAAACAATTTTTACACATGCTTTTAAAACTTGTAAAAGTTAATCCAAATCTAAACATGCACTTAAAAATTATAAACTATTAAAGAACATGACTGTCATCATTTAAATCTATAATGTTCGATCTTGATCAAACATTCAAAATACATTAAATGGGTGAATGTGTGGAATATTGATAGCAGATAGAATTAATATTTTATTACATTAATGGATGAAGAAAATATGAGATGTAACCAACAACCCTTGCAGAGAAGTTATGACTTATGAAAGAACGGAACAGTCAATAACTTGTGGTGTCAGGTGCATGTTATGGGTAGGGAGAATTGATTTTGCCCAAATTAAAAAGCTTGAAAAAACAGCTTTGGGTAAAAATTGATTCCATCCAATGCCAAACATGCACTAATATTTGTTTATCCAAAAAAAATTAGGTTTAGTGTTTGTATATTGTGTTGGGAGTATTTAAGATCTTAAATTGCATTTACTTACTACATCTTAGTTCTAGTTTGATTTGTGTGTAGCTACTAGTTAGGAGGAGTTGTATTTCTGTATTGAATAATATATAGATCAGATATATTAATTATCTAATAAATTTAAACAAATATATTTTTTCTTATAAATAAAACCAGAGGGAATATAAAGATTTTGGCTTTGATTTGACATTTGATGGTTTGTGCGATTTAAAAATTGATGAGTGAGTATATTTTGTCAATTCGTCCAACTTTGTACCTAATGTGCCCTATTATTGTGGACCATATGAAGGGTAGTATATCTAACGGAAATAACTGTTTGCTAGTTCAAAGACATGTCAGTGTCGACTATGAATGAACTTTTTCTACATTTTGAGTGCATCATAACTTCTCGTGTTGGGTGAGTGCTTGCATTTTGTTATGCTCTCTTGACGGTTATTGAGTTAGAGTAACCATACTAACTTCTAAAGAGGCTCACCATCATGAACATATATTCTTTGAATTTTGAGTCACTAAAATGCAACAAATAACCTAAAAATATAAAATTTTGAATTCAAAGTAACATTTTTAAGGGTAAAATACAATATTTGAACTGATAACAATTGCAACTGCAGAAAACACTTTCCCTTACAAAAACTAATGCAAACAAGACTACTCTTCAATCTATGCAAAGCTTAATTCCATTTATTTTTTGTTGCTTACATGCTAACCATCAGTGACCATTGGCACTCACACCGTTGGCTGTCGAATTGCTTTCACTAGATTTTGTCGCATAGAATCTGCGATACTTGGTATCAACTTCGGTGAGATAGAATGTGCCTGGATATAAAAGGCTACTGTCCTTGCTTGTTACATAATCTTTGCCACCATACCTATGCTCCATTAGCTTCAGTGTTTCAATAAACTTCTCTGGAGGAAACTGCAATTGAAGCATGTGTTCATTAAAATACCATACAACAACACAGTACTATGTTCCATCTTTTTAATTAACATTACAACAATAATATAACAAGACTGGTCGATTTAATATCAAAACTTGTGAACTCGTTTTGAATACTTTCATATTTGACTAGACTATTTATGGATCAATACCTCTTGTCTTGACTTCAACTTTTCAGCAACATCCATCACTCGGGCAATGTTTGACAAGCTAAATGGATGTTTAGCTTCGCGTAATTGCAAGGAAAACATTGTGGAAGTTAAGCCACTTCCGTATGAGAATAATATCACCCTCTTACCTTCCTGAAAATTGTAAAATGTAAATATTTATTAGAAAGCAGGTAACATTGTTGTGAGGAAACTGTATTTGTCATAGATAGTGGTTAGAACATTCACCAATGAGCTATTTTTGTTGTGAATAAGGGATGCAAATGCTGCATAGAGGGACGCTGTGTACATGTTGCCGACTTGCTTTGGGATCAAAGTAGTTGGTTGTACCTTCTCATCAAATAGAGGTTTTGCAACTTGTTGGGATGCCTTCAAAATAAAAAATATTGCACATCATCAGCAAATATTTTCTCAACGGTCCAATTTTAACAAAAACATTTAAAATTTGAATTCACAGCATTTTCTTTTCAACCCCAAGGCCAAAAAGGAAAAGTAACATAAGAATATTACTTTTGCTTATATAAGATCACAAACCTTTTCAAGATCCCGGCTTTGGTAGCTCTCCTCATCAGATAAAGCTGCAAAAGGTCCCAGCTTTTCTTTGGCAACCTCATCCGTAGAAGAGCTGCATACATTATGAATTTTTAAACACCCATGAATAAACTGAATAACTGAATAAAAATTAAAAAGTTTTCCAGAGGATGGATAAATGATTAGTACCTAGCATTCCTCAAGAAATCACTAAAGACCAAACGAGCAAAACTTTTTTGCACAAGCTGCAGAAGATAAAGTCTTAGAATAAATATACAAACAGACATACTACTAAATTACAAATATACATATCACTTTTAAGTCAGACACAAATATATAGAACGCAAACAGGGAGCATTATTCAGTCTCATTGGCAATTACAATATTAAACACCAAATCCTTAATAGTCTAAACTACCTTGTTATAAGGAGAGTGGAATACATAATAACCAGCGTCAGAAAGAGAAAATGGTTTTCCCTCGTGTTTCTCATATCTGCAAAAGTAAATACAATTAGGTATTTGATCAGTTAGTTATTACTAATGTTTTAATTTTTAAACACAACATCAGTCTGATGCAAATATAAATGAGGTTTAAGAATATACATACTCACACACACATGCATAGATATATATACTGGTTGATTTGAGCTAATTCAGAATTTGAATATTTTTTAACAAAGTTTTTGCTATATTATACCTTAAGCTTTTACTCTTAAGAAGCAAGATTGACATCAGAGACTTACTTTTGACAGAAATTTTTATAGCAAGTATCAAGAGCCATGAGGTAACATGTTTGTGAAAGCTTTCCGTCGACAACCTACAACACAAAAATTATGTTGATTTATTGAATTTAGTATCCTGAAATGCTATACGATGATGTGTCAAAACCAAATTAAAGTTGCTAAGATGCTTTGCTCATCGCATTGGGAAAATAGTTGGAAGTTATTTTTCAAATTATATGATCCCACAGTCAAATGTTGTGACAACAATTAGAGAGTTTGAAAAGCTTACCGGATATTCACTAGCAAGGTCAGGTTTGTAAAAATCATAAACATGAGCCATATGACTTCCTCTCAATTTGCTTTCAAAAGAAATAGGAGCATCAGGACCAATTAGCATGGCAATAGCAGCAGCTCCTCCAGTGGGTCGAGCAGGACCTTCAGCATAGACCTGAGAAAGTAAACACCAATTGATTAACTCCCCAACATTATGACAAAATCCAGGAGATGAATTTTTTAGTTCAAAACTTGTAGTGTTCTTAGAATCACATATAAGGAAACCATATTTATTATTACTGAATATGGATCTAGAGGAAACATATGATTGGGAAACTATCTTACAGCACTGTCTGTGCAGACAACAAGTCCATAACGTCCATCCCATGAATTGCTCTCCACCCAGTTGACACAATTGAACAAAGCGGCAGTTCCTCCATAGCATGCATTAGTCGAATCAACACCTTCAATGTCTGTATTTCCATATTTCTGTTTGTTCGAGACAAATAGATAAAAAGTATTGTATTAGAAAGCTATGCAAACAAACGGTTGATCAAGAAACTTATACTTGAAACAGAACCAATCCTAATCTGATAATTAACACTACCACCATTACTTGATAAATTTACATGAAAACAGTCACTGGTCACTACTATTATGGTAATAGAATCAGTATGAAGAGAGCACAAGGCACAGCTAATTATATAATTCTTTAGCTGCGAATTCTGTTTGGTATACTCAAAATGCAAATAGTACTTGGATTGAAATTTTTTAACAATAATCATCTACTTTGACACAGAGAATCATATATCCAATATCCATGTGGTTAGACACGAAAGGATACCTCAAAGATCTGCATCAAGAATGACTTAATGGATTTGCTTTTGTCTATCACAGTCTCACTGCCTACTTCCAGACGACCAATTTGTTTAGGATCGATCTCATACTTCTCAAGAAGAGTAGAAACCACCGTCAAACTGCAGATGCAAGAATTAATCATCAAGAGATAAGATTTTGAAAATGATCAGTTGCAAGATAGAATATAATGCTTCTGACTTAAAAAAAACCAGCAGGCTATTTTTTTTCAATCTAAAAGTGACAATATCTGTGGTACTTGTACATAATTCAAAAGTTTGAACACCTTGAGAAGGTTTTAAAAGGTTCAGCAACATCATGAACTGCATTTACAAGATCACCAATTTACATATTCCTCCATAAAGATAAATCAAACCATAATGCAAAGTTTGACAGCAACAAAATTGGCTCTAGCATTAGAAACCTCATGTGCTATAACTTATGATATCTTAATCTAGGTATCCCCGTCCGACAGCGATAACACACGGGCTCAATTTAATTTAGTGAGACAGTGCTTCATAAATCCTAATCAATACTCCCTCTCTCCCAAACTAACCGGTCTACTTCCAAAAATTAACTGTCCAAAAATTACTAGCCTATTTCAGTTTCAATAAAAACATTAATTATCATTTTTTCAACTGTAATCTCTAATTAATATCAGATTCAATATTATGGCGCATTTATGGTAAAAGTGCCGATATTATGAAAAGTGTTATTA